GGTATGTCAGCAAGTCAAGACAGACCATCAACACTCAAGCGGGCTACTTCAGCTATTACCAATCCCAGAATAGAAGTGAGAACATATCATCATGGATTTTGTGACATAATTACCTAAGCCACGCTCAAGACACGATGTCATCTGCGTAATTGTTGACCGGCTTACCAAATCTTCCCACTTCTTGGCCATCAGGATGACCGATCCCTTGGACAGGTTAGCAAGAATGTATATCTGGAAAATGGTCAGACTACATGGAGTACCAGTGATAATAGTGTCGTACAAGAACCCCAGGTTCACTTCTCGGTTTTGGTCTAGCTTTCAGCAAACTATAGGAACAAAGCTGTTCTTTAGTACTGCATTCCATCCTCAGACTGATGAACAGTCAGAAAGAACAATCCGCACACTTGAGGATATACTCTGAGCTTGTGTTCTTGATTCTGAGGGCCATTGGGATGACCATCTACCCCTGATAGATTTCGCCTACAACAACAGGTACCAAACAAGTATTGGCATGGCTCCATATGAGGCGTTATATGAGCACCCATACAGATCGTCGATTTGTTGGGAATAAGTGGGTGATAAAAAAATTTTCGGCCCAGATCTGGTAGAGGAGACTACATCCAAAATAGTAAAGATCAAGAAGAACATTCAGACGACTCAGAATAGGCAGAAGAGCTATGTGGACACCCAGATGAGGGATTTGAAATTTGAGAAAGGCGACCAGGTGTTCCTCAAGGTCACTCCCTTCAAGGGAATCAATAGTTCGGCAAGAGAGGGAAACTGAATCCCCGATTTATTGGACTATTTGAAATCTTAGACAAAATGGTACCGCTGACTACAAACTAATACTGCCTCCAAAACTTTTCAAAGTTCATAATATATTTTATGTATCCATGCTACGCAAGTACAACCTGAACCCCTCTCACGTTTTGCCTCACGAGCCTTTTTCACTCCAGGAGGATCTGTCCTACAAAGAAGTACCGGTCGTCATTGTGAACTGAAAGAGCATATTGCTTCGAAACTGAAAAATTCCCTTTGTTAAGGTCCTATAGCAGAATAACACACATAGAGAGGCCACATGGGAGCTTGAATCAGACTTCAGAGCCAAATATCCCCAACTGTTTGATTCAGAGTTAAAGAGACAAATTTGAAGGACCAAATTTCTTTTAAGGGGGGAGAGTTGTAACACCTGAAAATTATTTTTTTGTAATTTAGGATTTTATTCTAAATGTAATAAAATAATTTTTAATTTTTATTTTAATTTAGAGTAAAAAATGAAATAAAATTGATGGATGATGAAATTGAAAGCAATTTTGGGAAAATGAGTATAAATTTAGGTTTTAGGGGTATTTTTGAAAGAAAAATAAGAAACTAGAGGTCAAAATATAATTTAAAAAAAATTACCACATAAGATGCCCGGTCAACAGCCCCGACGAACTAGGACGCGCCACGTGGCAACGAGCGTTAACGCAGTGCCATGCAGGAAGTCACGCGGGTGATTCGCGTGCCCGCGATCGAACGACCCAGGTCCGTTCCCGCACGCACGAACAGGCTAGATGCGCTCCCTCCCAAACACGATCGAACGGCCAGATTCAAACACGATCAGACGGCCCATAGTAGATCGTGATGGACGACCCATATTAGATCGGGATGAACGACCTATATTCACTCCCTATTTAATCGTGATAGGACGGTCCAAATCAAACGCGATGGGCAGTACAGATTAAATACGATGGACAGTCCAAATCAAAAGCAAACGGATATAAATATCCCTCATCCGCACTAAACCCTAACCCTAGCCGCTAGAACCCCTCGCCGGAGAAGAAGACCTGGTCGCCGAAAAGGAGCTGCCGCCACCCACTGCCGCACCGGAACCCTTTCTGATCGCCAAAAAAGGTAAAAACTTTCCCTTTTGCTCGAAATTCAATTTTAAGCTCACCCATGGCCGAATCGGAGCAAAAAGACCAGCCAATTGACCGAAAAAGGCCAGCGAAACCCGACATCGCCGTCGCAGAAAATTTCACAAAACGTCTCCAATGAGGCCCTTCCCAATTCCTGTTCTGTATAATTTTTCCAGCGTTGTGATCACCGTATCCTTCTCTACAGGTTGATCGGAGCAAAACACCCAACCACAACGTGAGCTGGAGGAGCCGCCACACCGGAGAGCCCCACCGCTGGTGAGTTTCAGTTTTTCATATTTTTTGGGCCAACTGATGCCCTTTGATGTGTTTTCTCGCAGGGATCGATGCAAAATCGGCCGAATTCGGCCAAAACAGCTGACCCGAGACAGACTGCCGCCATAGGCGACGGTGTCGTCGCCAGAGCACGACGGAGCTGCCATGCCGAAATTCTGAAATTGGTCGAGTGGTCCCTAGGACTGATTTTGGGTTTGTTTAGAATATTTATAGGTATTATTAGCGCATTTCGATTCCTGAAAAAAAAAATCAGGGAACCTAGGAACCGCCCGTATACAGAGTAAACAACTTAGCTTTTCGGGCGTCAAATTAAGTAAAAATCCCCCACCCTATTCTCTATCATATAATTGAAGTCTAAATAAATAATAATATGGTATTTATGCAAATTAAATTAATGTGCATAATTAATTACGGATTACTAATGGAGCCCAAACCAGAAATTGTTCTCTATTAATTTCTGTTGATTTATTTTAAATTCTAAAAGTATGATGGTATCTAGTTTATCAATTTTATGGTCTGAATGCATAAATTACTACCTTACGTTACTACTGTTTGATTGAAAAATTGAGATATGATTACATTCCCTTATGCATGTTTGTTTGCTTATGTGATCATGGTTGATTTGGAAAATGGAGACTAAAGGAAAACAGGAAAGTTGTGTGATTAAATAAGTAGATGGAATGACAACCTTACTAAATATCCTGGGAGATGGTGGACGGACTGGGTACATAGAGAACCCTACCGTGAACGTTGTCTCATACCGGACGGGGTATAGAGACTTGATAATTTGGCACTCATACCGAACGGGGTATGGGGACGACCCGCTTCACCCTCATACTAGACGGGGTATTAAGGTTTGATAATTTCGCGCTCATATCGGAAGGGGTTTGGAGACGACCTGTAATTTAGATTGTTAAAGGAAATGGGTCACGTGTAGCGAGGACATCCCTATGAACCTCCATTGATACTAGTAGGCTAGTGAAAATGCGACAGTTATTGTTTGGTTATTTGATGATGTGTATAGATTCATGATATGTGTTATGTTGCTAATCCTACATGAAATTATTATATGTATGATATTATTATCTGCATAGGTTGTTTTCATAAATTTCACTACAGTAAGTGAACGATAAATAATTTTATGATTGATAAATAAATTTACTAAATTTAGTCTCGATTAGTTGTATTTGATTTATTCCCACATTTATTTCTGTGTCGATGATATAGGTGTGATATTCTTACTAGACTAGTGTACTTCATTTCTTATTTAACTATTTCAGATCAAGAAGATCAGATTCCATTGCCCAATCCACAAGAAAATTGCTAGTAGATACTAGATATTTTTTCTTTTTCGTTTATTTCCTTATTTCTTATGTTTCTTTCAAAATGGTAAATTCTGTAATACTGTTTAGTACTTTCAAATTATTATGTAAGGCATGTAAACTTTAACCCTTTTATTTCGCTTCCGCACTTAAGTTATTATCTATTTCTTTTGAGTATTTCCAGGGTCGCCGTTACAAATATATTTAGACATATGTAATAAGGTAATCATATAATTAAATTTTCAAATTTTCCACAAGTTAAATGAACTTTTTTTAGGAAAGCTAAAAGAAATTATAGGGAATTTTCTAACAATTTTTTTTTAAAAAAATAAGAATAAGAAATAATTTAAGGTAAGAATTTGGGTTGAAGAGGTAAAGGATAAAGGAATTGGAGAAAAATATTAATGTGTGGTGGCAGTTGGTTGTTAAAGATATTTATGAATAATTAGTATATAGTATATATATATATATATATATATATATATGTATATAATTATTTGATTATGATGAGATTATGGAAAATGTCAATATTGGAGACTGATTTTGAAGGGATGTGCTTAATTAACTTTACTGTGATTGGCTTATTTGACATGATTGTTTTCTACCAACTTTGATTTTTATTCTTAAAAATTTTTTAATCACCACTTAATTCTAATTATTAATCTAAAACAATCCCATCTTATTTGACTTTTCTTTTTCTCTACAAACTAAGCAAAAGAACAAGAAAAGAGTCCCATATTTTACATTATTATAATGTCACATTAGAATTTAATATATTTGTTTATGGGAAATACTATACTTTCAAAGATTTTGCACTCTATATTTATATATATATATATATAAATGTATTGATGCCACAAATGATATGAAAAGAAAATCAAATCAAATCAAAATGGAACACCTTTTGTAAAATCTCTGCATATACTTTCACATTTGGACATGTACAATGTTTAAAATGTGTGCTGTAAATCATCATAATCCACAGAAAATGTGGTTTGACTAGAGGTCGTATGGGTTGAATTGTATTGATTTTGTTCTTAAATTTCTTGAATGTAATCATGCTCTTCATTTGTCAAACGTTAATTGATCTTTTTGCAGTTAAACAATTGGGATCCTCTGAATCCACTACAAGACTTTTCATTACTACAATCATTAGCTATTTTCTTTTTTCAAGGACAAGATTTCATTTGGGATTACTTTTCCCACTGATTTCTCTCATTATCTCTGTAGATTTATTCTGCAAAAGAATATATATATATGGGAACCATAGACTTCTTGAGAGTCAAGAAGAAGAGATACAAAAACTGAATTGCAATAAGATTATAATAGGGAAGATAAAAACTATAGTTTTCTCTGTAAATTATGATGACTCGACTCTCTTAACCGTTGAATCATCTGTGAGAAAAGGTTAAAAAGATGTAAATCTATCATGAACAAGTTATTTCACTTGGAATGAGTGAATCACAAGCCGAACAAGAACATATGCAAAGAATATCATGTAATTATTTGTATTAAAACCCCGAATATTGATTTTGAAACCCTAATATATTAAGGGTTTGAAAGAAAAATACTATGGTAACAAATGGCTCAAGGTTTTCAATGTAAACGCCTAGTTTGAAGCTTCCAATTTTCAACTTTTCATCATCAGACTTCGATATAATATGAAATTAGAACTCAGAAACTCAGTTCTTCAAAGCACTGTCTCTAGCTCTTGAATGAAGTACCTAATGTATTATAGGTGCATATCAGTGAAGCAGTTCAAGAATCAAAATTTTTCCTATTCAAGGGTTAAAACAATCAGGCATCATCAAATAAATTAGTTCGTACAATTTTTACAACTGAACATAAATGCAAATAAAATTGTTTATCTCTGAAACTGGTCATGCTCTATTAAGATTTTCAAAGAAGAGGCAGCATCATCATGGCAATAATGTACAATGAAGTCAAAAAAGTAATAATTGTATACCAAACTACGAAAGAAATAGGGAAATTGCAAAGATTAACAACTCAGGCCGACAATCTAATTAAACACGAAATATTATGGGTGGCAAAACATGCGACTGCTCACTCATTCTCTATACTATCACATTCCTAAAGTCATGAGAAAGGAAAACAGCATTTACCCTATCTTTCTTGAGGCTGCACAATGATTCAAACATAATCATTTCGGCACTGTTCCACAAATGGTGGCAGAAGAAGAGCAAGCCTGCTTTTGTATCTAGCAATTCGTTTTAACCGTTCTTCCCTCAACCTGCAGGGGAGGGGGGAAAGCATAGCTTACATTAATCATCTCTGATTCACATAAAAATTTGTTTGAAACTTAACTTCCTTAAAAAAAAATCATATAATCTTTTTAAATACACTTGATGATACTCACACGCACACACACATAGATACACGCGTATGCATGTGAGTTTGCTTGTATTGCATTCACTAACTAAATGAAGGTCAATAGAAGCGTCATTTCAAGAAATCCTAAAATAAATTCCATGCAATCACCACTTATCCACAAACAGATGCCTCTGCACTTGGGCATATAGGAAGTTGAACTGTCAACAAACTGTCAACAAAATTTTGTAATACTTTACCAGAAAAAAGATCTATACAATTAGAAAACCATGAATTTTTTAAGCAAGTGGCAAATACGTATTTACAAAATAAAGACAAGAAAAAGAATGAAGGATCCAACAGAAAGTATGCATTCCTATGATTGAATCTTTGTAAATTCTTCTTTGGTCAATACATTAAATCAGTCTCCATATTTTGTCTAAGGCTCATTCAGGAGCACATAGTCCAAAGCAAGTACGCAAACACCATTATTTGCCAGCCCCCAAGCAAAGCAGAGATGATGGTGAAGAATTGACAAAAAAAGGCTTCATTTGGGAGACAGGGAATAATAAATAAGTAACGTACCAACATAAGTTGAAACGGAAGTGAATGGAATGACAGCAGACTTAAAATATCTTAACTTGTCTGAATAGGAAGTGAAAAAGAGAGCAATGTAAACTTATGAACATACAAAAAACATTAATAATCTTATTTCTTATAAGGATTATAAAAGAACGATGATAATTTAGTTAATCAGCTAAAATTAGATTTTACTCACGTTTTCATTCCATTCCATTCATTCTCCAGCAATGCAAGAGAAAGTTTTAGGCTTTGGGAGAATGTAAGTATATAATTCACCCTCATTTCTCTTACATTCCATTAATGAATAACCTCCAAAAAAGTTAAATGTTTAATTTACTAAATTTTCTATTCTTTTCCACTCCATTCTCTCCACCTCTTCCAAGCACACACACCCTAAGTTAGCAACTTGTCAGATGGGAAACTTACCGTGCTCTAACCTTTTTAGCACGCTTGATATGCCTTTTTAGAAGATCTTCAGTTGATAAATGATCAACAGATACCTCACCCTGAGCACAGGAATGGCAGAATGAAGTTATTTCTAAGAGAAGGAAAATGCAAATTAAACAATTTAGATGAGGGAGATATATGAGATAATAGCTATAAATTCCTAGGCCTCTAAAGACTTAAAATTCCCATTTCCTAGATCCAGTATGATAAGTTTCTTACACAAAAGCAAGCCCTATAATCTCAAACTAAATCTATAGAATTTTTTGTAGAAGCCTTGGTCTATTTATGAACTATAATATATAACAGCGATAAGAACAGGATTTTGACAGGAACATGAGATTAGAACAAAATCATTACAATATTTGATTACTTGTCAGCTTAGTACAAAGGATTCCGAGTTAGAAATAAAAGAAGTACCCAGGAAAACAAGCTGAAGTAGAATAGCAGATGCTTAAGAGGCTTCCAGACCAATTTCAATGAAACATATGAGAAAAGAAGCATGATGATAGTGCCAACCAAACTCATGAATTAGATTTTAAACCAACCTCCTCCTCACTTTCCTCTTCTTCCCTTTCCTTCTTGATTGGCAAATTGTCGTCCGCTACATGTGCAGGCAAAGGTCTTGGAAGAGACTTCAAACCGTCTCCATATTGTGGCTGTCCACCAAGTAAAATCTCAAGGCATTAAAAAATCTCCTGTATTCCAATTCTATATATAACTCTGAATGAATGGAGCTTTTTTCTAAAAAAATAACGAAACCGCTCAGCCAGTCAGCAGGCTACAGACTAGAATTATTAGATAAAAACACTTGTGACACAGTGAGAACTTCCCTAAAAGCTATGAAAAATGCAAAAAACTATAAAGCTAGAAACCTAAAAATTGCAACCTGTTAACTAGCATCCTCCGGAGCAAGACTGAAAGCTAGATAACGTAAACCAAAATCTTCACATCATTTTCTAATGAACAAGCAAATCATTTTCTACCATCAGTTTTTGACAAAGCAGAACATAAGATAACAGCATAAATTGAATGCAAAAGAAGATGACATAAACCTGAATTTCCTCATGAACTCCATTTTTCAACCATGATCGACAAAGTGCGTAGAGAGAAGCTCCATCTGAGATTCTGACCTACAAAATAGACGAAAACAAAAACTAATAAAACAAACTGAACCATAATCAATTTGCTCAAATGTAGTCCTAATGGCATGTCCTTCCCAATTTCAATCAATAAAAGACAAGATGCTTGCATATCATATGCGCTACAACTTCATATTTCTTAAATTTCGAAAGAAGGGCCAACTGTAGAAATATGATTATAAAGATGGAAACATATTAGCCGAATAAAGGTAAACCGTAAATCATTTCTATCTACTAAAAACCCAGAAATAGATGCTATTATTCTCTTGCAGATTGCAAAGTCAAGCCACCAGAGAGTTATAAAACTCATGCACCAGAATATACATTACAAAAATTAATGCATTGGATTGGAAAATCTTATGCTCCTCATTGACATCACACCTTTTCAAACAAAAGAGAATCTAATTCATGTGAAAAAAGACCAAGCTTTGCAGAGTGTTCTACAGAACAAATTATTATGGAAATTTCTTCAATAGATATCTTTACATGACAAACTACATGTTGGGAAAAAATCTAAATGGTGAAAGAAAGAAGACTAGCAAGCTGTATAAAGCTAGTAACAAAGCTTTTGATGTACGTTTATTGAAAACATATTATATATTCCTTTCAGACTCCATTATGCCTTCAATCAACTTTGATTTCTATTGAAAAAATTCACTTTTTCTTTGAACCCAAAACTATGTATTTATTGTCTTCCTATTATCCTTGAAATACCTTTAGTTTAAAAATGTTTGAGATTGTTTATTTTATTATATGCCAATAAACAGCTTTAAGCAAGAAAAAAAAAATCAAGCACCTCTCTCCTATCCTTTTTTTTTTTTTTGTAGACCTAAGAGTAGTTATTTTCTTATCATGCTCAGTCACTTATTAACTGTTATGTAGTTATTTTGTATTTAAAAAACAATAAGTACCTATTATTCCAAATTTAACTACTTATTTTTCTAAATCAACCAACTAAAAGCATCTATTGCCTCAACTTCAAGCTTATTTGTTTCAGCAATCCCAAACATCCTCTTATTGTCTTTCTCCTGTGCTAGAATTCACCATGCTTGGAGACTTCGTTTCATGTTCTCCTCAATATTAGTTGCCCCTTTTTTGCAGTTTCTCCTCCTTATATTTCCCTTGAAATCTATTATGAATCTTGTACGAGATATAAATGGTTTTATCCATGGAAATAAGTTCTTAACATATGAACACAACTAATTAGTAACTAGAGGTGCTATAACAGTTTGATACATATATTAGTTCAATAGACCATCCTTGACAAAGATATTGACAACATGAGAAGTTCCATGAAAGTATTATCCATTTTAACCCAACATAGTTTTAATAAACCACATTAGACAACTTCATATTTGTTGTAGTATCTAGAGTTCCAATTAAGTGTCCGTCTTGGAATACTGATACTTACACCGATTGTGCTTGAAGAAGGTCATAGTTGCCAAGTAAAATTAATTCTTTTTCATTCCATTTAGACCTTGGATAAAGCTATAGGACCTAGAACAAAAATATTTAGATCTACTTTTTGGGGGAAGAGGGAATGTTTATGCAAGTTTATCTAAACCAGCAAATGTAAATATAGGCGAAGCAATAGAATACAGACAAAAAGTCTATTTTTAAAAAAATAATAATTATGCTTACCTTTCGATCTCTAATGACATCTGTAGTGGCAGGAGTGTCATCTCTAATTCTACAAGCAATTCAAACACGAAAACATTAGTGTTGGTGCACAACCAAATGATTTTGGCAGGGGAAAAGGGCAAGGTGAAGTAAAATGCCAAATATTGTTTTACCTAGAATTTCTGTGCCCATTACCGTCAGGAACTGAAGATGGTAGTGAAGCTACCTAAACAAAGGAAATTCAAAATTTTGAGCAAATGAAATAGAAGAAATCAGAAACCAAGATTGTTTTCAAGTTCCACAAGCTACAAATCTTTGACACAGAAGATGCAGCTAAATAGGATGCATACAGATATGCTAAGAAAGTCTCCGTATAATTAAGAATAAAAAAGTAAAATCCTCAGAATGCTTTAGTCTAGATCAAATGGTAACTGAAAAGCTTCGAGTACCATAACAAGATAGATACGAGCTATATAACTCCAATAAAAATCATATTTCAACTTTAACAAATTTACATTTCTGCACTGAATTTCCTTCTTTTTGGCTGGGAGTGATATATGCAGGCTTGAGAGGAATCAAGAAGGCCAACATAATGAACTGTATTTTGCATATTTGACCAAGCTCAGTCAAACTAACATTGCTGTGTTGAGGTTAACAAACTATGAACTTCCTAACATCTTATTCTTTCTCCCTTATCACTGATGCTAACATAAAGAGCTAGTCTTTGAACTTAAAATCTTTTAGATTGCATGCTAAATGAGGTCATGCATACGGTAAACAATATTCCAACCAGAGAAAACAGATAGATGCGATGTGGGACTTCAGGCATTTCAATAGTAGGACTGTCAGAATGTCACTGAAAATAAGTACGAAATAAATGTTTGTTGAGTTGTTAGCTTGTATCACTGCATGTCAAATATAGTTTGCGCATTCTTTTTACAAACCCAAATCATTTTCCAGCTTAAAATTTGCAGTCAATACACCTACAGTTTAGAACAAAAGATTAAAAAAATACCATGAAATTAATGAACTATGCTTCTCAAAAATTTGTGTGCTGATAGAAATTCGAAAAAGAAAATCACAGCTATGCAGAAAATTCAGGCAGCATAGCCATACCAAATGGATACAAGCAATACATAAAACTAAGAAATCAGTGTATCGTCTATCTCATATTGATACTAATAACATGGGCTTTATTCCTCATTAAATCACATTGTCAAATTACACATAGGCCATATTGTGTTAAAACCAATCTGCTTGATCCTGCGGCAAATCACCCTGCACAAAACATTTTCACTGGAAAAACTTATGTTTGCAGGACGTTTTGACAAAAGATGGAAGAAAGCTCCTAGTCAGACTCATCCCAAAGTAAGCTAATAGGATTTGATTTCATCATCAATTACCATGGGAGAAAAGAAAACATAGTGGCGAATGCCCTCTCCCACCAACCCAAAGACTTAGGCACTTTAGATGCCATCTCCATGCTTCAATTGCATGTTTTATGTCATCCAAGAAGTAATTATTACCTCTCCCACTTTCAAAAATTGGTGGATTGACTGCAGAAAGACTCCAAGGGGGAACTATGGACCTTTCAGGACAGGTTGCATCTTTACAAAAATCCAGTTTTCGTCTTGCCTACCTCACAACAGATGCTAGTGATCCCCTCTGCCTAACATAATCGAGTATTTCTCTACTATTTTTCTCTCTCAATCTTCAGAATCCTACTCAAGCCCAATTTCTTACCTTGCCCGAGTTGTTCGTCAGCTGGTTCATTACTTTTCAAGGTCCAATTTGAGAACCAAAACAAAACCAAATGAACTCATTCCATGAACCAGTTCAAAAAATCTGGTACATAGATCCCAGGAACTTGTGCTATCCAAATAACTATAATATACACAAAAGTCAGAGTAATATTCATACTTGAATGTGCTTATAAGGTCTAATAAACAGGTGCTTATAAGTGCATTCTTTAAATTCACTGGAGAGATAAAGTAGTCAGGACTACCTACAAGCTGCTTATAACTACACTCTCTAATCTGACAAGGCATGTCCTTAAATAAATTTGGTGCATCCTCATTTTAATGATTTTATATGTTTTAGTTTCACAATCTTACAAGAAATCCACCTCTGATCAAGAACAAACCTACTGCCTTTTACGTACGTGCCTTCAAGCATCGGAGACAAACTGTGATTTGTTTCTAAACTGTAGTAGCCTGGTAGCTTAGGAAAAAGCCGCTTGTATTTTGCAAAGTGTAAGGTACATCCTCCCACTTTTTGGTGTTTTTCCTGCTTCTTTAGAGCTTTGTGAAGAATAAGGGAGATAGAGTGTTATACAGGAGGGGCTTTTTTGACGTGTATTGGGTTCTGTGGCTTGAATGCAGTACCATGATCTTTTATCCACATGTCAATACTGCACTTCTTTTTGGGGTAAGTTGCTTTGCATGTCCTCTTTATGGTCTAAAGTTCATAGTACATTTCAAGGGTTGCCTTTGTCAATCATGCAAAGGAATTACTAGGCTACTGCATTGATATTTACTCCTTTTTCACTGTTTTCTATTTTGCTTCTTTTTCCTTTGCTACGAGGGTACTTTATCCTCCCTCTTTGTAGTCTCTTTTGCTCTTAATAATATCTTCTTTCCCATCAAAAGAAAAATCCCACTGCTGCATGCCCAAGAATTAAGTCCTCAGGTAGGGAGTAAATGACTAAATCTACATGATTTCTATTTCACTCAATACCTAGATTTTGTACCAAAACATTAAAAATAAAATTAGGATTTATGATACACTCTATCTAGATTTTCTATCAAAACACTAAAATTAAAACATATAGATCATGTTAAACATGTTACCAAAAACATCTCAATTCATCAATCAAGGGCCTATGGA